TGGGTACTTTGAAAATTCTCAGTAATTTTACTGATGCATGTACTGTTTGGGGTACCTGTAAAAGTACATTCACTGAATAAGTACCTGCATGGATACACAAGTCTGTAACTTTACTGAGGAAATCTCGACAGGGTATCCTAAATTTTTCGCGTTCTGTGTGGCGACTATTCATTCACCGTTTTCTTTTTTACGAACGGCTCTATATAAACAACTCGATAAATCATAAGAAAATAATCAATTTTCATACTAGTTTTTTCTAAATTATTTCTTGACTATTTCTTAGTAGAGGAAATGCCGAGCTTGGTCGTAAATTAAGATCGGACTACCCTGAAGTGGTCTACGACCAACTCAAGTTGAGTCGGATCCCGACATTGTTCCTGCTAAGTTTTTGGAATTGAAAAAATTAAATTGAATAAAGTAAAAAAAATCTAGTAAATTATCTCAAGAAAAAACAAAAAAAAATTTTAAAAAGTCAAAGATCAGGTTCGATCCTGAACATACTGAAAATTTGGTAACAGGGTACTTAGAAATACTATACAATGGTACCCAATTTAGTACTTGATCAGTACCTTTAGGTACCCAATTACTGTGCATTTTCCAGCAGGGTACTTGCCAAAGTACCACTTAGGTACCTATAAGTACCTGCAAGTACTTTGGTACCCAAAAGTTCCTGTGACATACTGGTATCAGGGTACTTTTTTGGGTACCCTTAACTCAGTATATTCTCTAGGGATGGCTCTGGAATTCGGTGAGTTCTAATCAACTAATTAAATTAAAACATTTTTTCACTTTTACTTTTTAGACTCGTTTTAGATAGCCATATATCCCGTAAGTTTATTCCAAATATTAAATTAAAATACAATTTCATCTTAATTCATCGATTTGTTTCGAAAAATCGAAAAAAAGTGTGAATTAATTCAATTTATTAAATAAAAATACAATCTTTAACTTTTGTTTGGAGATTTGATCCGTATTTATTAATATATCCGGTGAGTTTATTCCAATCACTAAATGAAAATGAAATTCTATTTTTATTTTTAGATTTGTGGGATATCGATAAATCTAGTGAGTTTGAATCGATTTATCAAATTAAAATGAAATTTTGTTTTTGATTTTAGATTCGTTTTATAACTCAATATGTCGGGTGAGTTCATTGCAATTACTAAATAAGAATGAAAGTTCATTTTTACTTTCAGATTCGCTGTCTGTCAATATATTCAGGGAGCTTGAATCGATGAATAAAATAAAAATACAATTTTATTTTCAGTTTTTGGATTCATGCGATATTGGTAGATCCGGTAAGTTTCAATCAATTTATTAAATTAAAATAATATTTTATTTTATTTTTATCTTCGTTTTATATTTCAATACATCATGTAAGTTTATTTCAATTACTAAATGGAAATGAAGTTTCGCTTTTACGTTTAGATTCGTTTTATATATCAATATATCTGGTGAGTTTACTCCAATTTCAAAATGACCATGAAATTTTATTTTTATTTTTAGATTCATTTAATATCGATCGATTTGGTAAGTTTGAATCAATTTTCTAAATTAAAGTTTCATTTTTATTTTTAGACTCGTGTGATATCGATATATTCGGTGAGTCTGAATCAATGCATTAAACAAAAATACAATTCTATTTCCATTTTTAGATTCGTTTTATATTCATAGATCTGGTGAGTTGGACAAAAATTCCTTAAATTAAAAAACAGTTTCATTTTTATTTGTAGATTCGTTTTATATATTAGTATATATGGAAAGCTTGTTCAAATTATTGTACGAAAATGAAATTTTATTTTCATCCTTAGAATTGTTTTCTCGCAATAGGTCGGGTGAGTTTGAATCAATTTAGTAAATTAAAATATAATTTTCTTTATATTTTTAGATGATTGTCGTAGAGTAATGTTTGATGAGCTATGAAATTCGTTCATTAACTATTTTGGTTGAATTATGTTTTACATGCGAAAGGGTGCTCATTATCTTTGGTGTGGTTGAATGTGAAGAAAACGGGTGAGTTTAGATGATTTTCGATGAAAAATTGCTTATTTTGTTCATTTTTTAGGTGGAGAAGGGCGTTATATTTAGCTTCTTGATGGTTTGGTAATGGTGCGACGAAGTGCATCTGGATAATTAAAGTTTTTTTCTAAATTCCGTGTGTTGCTGACCTTTAATGACTGTTCTAATTATTTCTTGGTGCGAATAGATTCACAGCAGAACCTCATTGAATGTCTGTGACCGCTGTGAATGCCTGTTGCTGCTGGCAGAGAAGTGATGGATTTCTGCCAAGGCTAGTTTGGTAGAGCTTTAGCCGCATTCGGAAACCTTTTCTTTGGGTTTCCAAAGAGGTATTTGAGGTTTAGCTATAATTGGTACTATGGGTTTCCGAGGTCTCGGAAACCCTTCTTCGGAAACCCTTAAAGGGTTTCCTATAGTAACAAACTCGGAAACCCTCCAAGGGTTTTCGATAATACCTATTTTTTTTAGAGTGTGGGTGTGGGTGGGTGTGGGTGTGGGTGTGAGTGTGGATGTGGATGTGGGTGTGGGTGTGTGG